GTTTAGTTGAATTCAAACACTTATAGTATTTAGATGGCAATAGAATATTCACCTCTGACAGGACAAAAATAAATCAATAAATAAAAATTAAAAAAAAATGGAAATGGAAAGAAGCAGTCAATGCTCTAATTTGCTTCGTATTTTTTTTCAATTGTTTGTACTTTTTCTTTTCTTAATTTCTTATACATTGCTCCAGTTTTTTTCTTCTTCCAATTTTATGTGTATATATCTGGTAATATGAATGGCTGGTTGTAAGACAATACCATGTAGTACAGCAAATACTGTGAAATTCATATTACTTTGTTAAGTAAAATTTTGTATGAGTTGTCAAAAATAAATAAATAAATTAAAAAAAATAAAAATGTTACATCCTTGAGTATACAAGAGCAAGAAAAAGAGGTTAACTTGGATGCCAATCACCTGTTAGTTTTAAAAAGCATTCATTGAACAGAATATTTCTATTTTGTACACCGTTCCATGAGTATATTGGAAAAGCTAATTTTTTTTTTCTTTAAAAGCAACAAGCTTAAGAATCAATGCCTTAAATGAAAAGGTCTGGTATAGAAACACACATTCCAGAACAAAGGTAATTAAAATTTCCTTTTCACTATGTACTTCCTAGATTTAGCTTCAAAATCCATTGCTCCATTTCAACTCCAAATGACAATCTTTGGCTAACTATTCATGCATCTTTCTCCATCTAAACTTCAAGATAATCTTTATCCCATTCTGTGAACTTTCACAGAAAAGGATGAGGAAGAAGAGAAATGACAGCAGGAAGATCATCACTCCTCCTTCCAGGTTGTAGCTAATTCTAGTCTGAACCTTTCAAAAAATTTCCTTCTTTCAGGCCAGAAAACAATACTATTCCTTCAGACTAATTCTAGATATTACTGCTCTAATCATATTACACCTCCTCTTTGCTCTAAAATAAATTCCTTTGACTCTTCCTATCAAGTAAAACCTTCCAAGCAACTCTACTGTAAGACATATTCTCTGACCTACACAGGCCACCCTACACTCCATAATCTAATGATTTTTCTTTCTCATCTGAATAATCTTTCACTAATTTCAAACTTGGTACACACTTTCTGTAAGATCATTCCCCTTGCTTCTTCCTCCAAAGACATCTTAAAAGTCCCTCCTCTCAGAAGTCATTCTTGAGTGAATGATTGTGAAATTATCTTTCTTGAACTCTCTATTCACAATCCTCTTGTATAATTCTACCTTTCTATTTTCTTTAGAAAATATGTATTTTACTCTTGCACCTAGCATCTAATTTTTATATTAGCTAGTTGTATAATTTTTATTGTAAGGGAAATAATATAAAATGCATCTCACGGGGCCGAGGAGTTAGCTCAGTAGAATAAGCACTTGCCTGGCAAGTGGAAGGACCTGAGTCCCCAGTTCCGGAAAAAAAGAAAAATGCATCTCACTAAGAATCACAACTTACAACTTAGTTACAGAGCTAAACTGTAATACAGTTCCCACAATAAATTAGATATAGTATCTAGTCTTAACCATATCTAAATCTATAATAAAAGTCCTTGATCAAGATTGGACCCAGATTACCCTTTAGTTACATCTCTAGCAAACCCGCCCTCCCCCAACCTGACTAGCCTTAATATGTGATCTCAGGACCCCTTAATCAGTGCTCCCTCAAACCTGAAATGCGCTTTCCTTCCTATGCCCCTTCTTCTGCCCTCCCTGGCTTCTTGTTCACTCTCTAGGATCAGCAGTACCATTCATCCATAATCAATCAACCATGCAATAACTCCTGGCCACTTAACTCCAAGTTAGCATCTTCTCATATATTTTCAGAATATCTGTAATACTTATTGATATATTTACTGCACTGTAATTATCCCTTCCCCACTGGACTATAAACTGCTTGAGGTACAATCAATCTTTTTTCTTTTTGTTTCCTAAAATCTAACACTGTTAGATATCCAACAGACAGTAAGTGCGTGAATGCTCATACCAACCACATGACTTGTGCAGACTACACAAACATGCTGTTTCTGCATCTAAAGTTCTTTTCTCATGTAAAGCATAGATAAAGCCATACTTACCTCACAAAATTGTTATAAGAGTATGTGAGGTATCATGAAACTCTCAGCATGGCATAATGTCTGCTGCATAGAGCTACCAGTTCAGTATCTATTTCATATCTCAGTTATCCTCCTATACCCTTAGAAATGTAATACTGTGATCAATATCAGGCTGAATGGCTTAGCAACCTCACATCCACAAGTCAATTGTTACCTTCTGATCATCAGCAAGTATTTGCTGTGTCCCTATTACATGTAAGAAAAGAGAGGTTAGTAGATATCACTAATACAGGTAAATAAGGCAAAAAGCTGCACCAATATCCAAGAGAAAAAAAAATGGTACTGGTTTTTCTGTACAAGAAATATGAGTATTTTTCAAACTATGTAAGTTTTGCTTTATAGGTAGAAAAAGTTCAAATTAACTCATCAAGTAGACCAGTAACAGGAGGCAGTTCCAAAATTCCTTGCTCCTCTAAGTTTCATTTTTGGTTACAATTATTTCTCACAAAGGAAATTTGAGCATGACCAAGACAGAGATTGCCTCACTCAAATGGGAATTCCACAGATATTCTTCTAGGTTTTTCCCAATTAGTATTTAATTTTATAGTTCTGAGTGTTTCTCCATAAAGCAGAATGCTTAACAGTATACTGACCTCACTGTCTCTTAAGACTAGGTAATATAAATATTAGCCACTTAACAAAATTTACAGAACTGCAAATCGTGCCACTTAGTACTAAAAAGCTCTGGACTCAAAACTATTTTCTCCCTATCAAATCCAGAGGTCAGAGTCCTAGTGAAGTTTGTGCATTATACAGTACTTCACTGCTTTTAGTAGCTGCAGAGAGACCTCTAGCGCTGCCTCAATAACCCGAGTTTGCACATAGTACCTGCTAATGTCACCTTAATCAGACAATGGCAATATGCGAAGTATAAGGAACAGTGACCACAATAAATGTTTACAGTTTTGCAACCACTTGGAAGATCTACCAGTTTGATGCATGAGGTATATTATAAATCTTTGTATCCAATTTATTTCAGTAAAACGTGTCAAGGAAATCATGATCCTTTGCACACTTCCCCTCCAAGATAGGCTAAAAAGTCCTAAAAGAGGAGGTCAGAACAATCTCTCTTCCAAAGCCTCAGCACAATGGGTGGTAAACTATTGTCCACCTTTAGCTGGCTTCAAATGCCAGGAGGAATAGGAGTACGGGCTGGAACAGTTCAACAAGACTAGTCCAAAGGACAGCACTGAAATATACGAAAATGATCTTGGCGCATCCTGCCCTACCCCCATACACCACCTCAAACAAGTCAGTTACCCGGCTGGTCCCCACCCCCCTCTGCGGGCCGCCACCGCCCGCCTGGGCCCGGCTCGCAGAAGGTAGGCGCGGGGACCGGCAGAGCCCAGGCTTCATGCGCGGCAGCGGAGAAGGCATGGAATGGCCTGCGCCGGGCGGGATCTTGCACGGACGCCGGACAGCGAGCTGCGATCGGCCCTCGGTGGTGGAGTGGGCAGCCCCGGGCGGCAGCATCCCGGTGTGCCTGCCCGCGCGGCCCGCGGACCCCGCCTCAGCTCCACATCCCTTCCTCGCCGACACCAGGCCGCGCCCGCGTGACGGGGCCGAAAGCCCCGGCATTTCCCGATCCCCGCACCGCCAGCTTCAGAGAGCGGCTGCAGTTCGGCTCGTGTCCCGCTGCCCACTCCACCCAGCCCTGGGCCGCGATACTACAGGCGGCGGCCAACTCCGACTGACCGCAAGCTGGCGAAAACCAGCGCGGCGCTGGCCCCCGCCCCTCCCCGCGGTCGCCGGGCCCGCGCGGGCAGGAGGGCGGACCGGGCGGGCCCGGACCGCGGAAGCACACTCACTTCCACATCTCGGCCCTTGTTCTTGAAGCTCTTGATGCGGTGGTTCTCCAAGCCAGGGTTCTCAGCCATGGCTGCGCACGGCTCCGGCGGCGGCTACTCCTGCGGCTGCGGCGGCTGCTGAGAGACTCAGCGCGGGAGGGAGGGGTGGGGAGGGAGGAGGGAGGGGGAAGGGGCGAGAGCGCACGTTCCGTGACGCCTCCGAGCGCGAGGTGGCAGCAGCGCCGGGGTAGGCGCGGGCTGACTGCGCCGGGCCGGGGCCGGGGCCGGGGCTGGGGCCGGGGCCGGGGCCCAAACACCCTTGCTGAGGCCTTTCTTCTTATGGGTCCCAAGGGGAACCCGACATCCCGAGGTGTAGCTCAT